GATTGTGCCAACCATGGAAATGAACTATTTTCTATATAGAGTTGTTTTTCCTTTCAGGTGTTTTGGGTGAATGAATAGGGGAGGCAGCCATGGCAAAGGGTTTGAGATCTGGAGCCAGGACCAGAAAATTCTCAGTGGGGGACATGCGGGGAAGTGGGGGACATGTGGGTGCATGTGGGGGCATGTGAGCAAGTGACCTAGGCACATGGGGGGTTACACAGGGGAGGTGAGAGGGATGAGGCAGAGAAACAAGGAAACAGGGAACTCCTGACTGTGGCTGTGGGATCTTGGTCCCCTCCACCAATGCTCTCTCATCAAAGGGGCAATGGATCCCCAACCTGACCCTGCTTGACGGGTGTACCTTCCGATGTAATCCTTCCCTGCATGCCTCAGCCGAAGCTCACCCAGTCCTGGTGCTCTCGGCCCTGGAAGGCCAGGCATGGCTGCTGGGGCACATGGCAAGAGCCAAGGAGAATGGCCCCACCCCAGTGCCCAGTGCTTCACTGCGAGGGAGGAGCTCACTGCTGGCGCAGGTGCAATGAAGTACTGGGGTGGGCCATTCTCCTTGGCTCTCGCCATGTGTGCCCCAGCAGCCATGCCTGTCTGAGGACTCCTGGCCTGACCTGGTTCTGCGGCCTTTGGGGAGAGCGAGAGGGAGAGCCTGGTGAGGCCACCCCTCTCGGCCACAGCAGGAACCAGCTTCCTGCTTCTAGCTGTGGCCAAGCAGGAGGGGAGGGAGACCCAGTGAGACCACCCCTCTTCCTCCCCTCCTGCTCAGCTGTAGCAGAAAGCAGCAGGAAGAGCTGGTGAGGCCATGGTGGGCAGGGCTAAGGAGTGTGGCACACCGTGGGTGGGTGGAGGAGGTCTGGCATCCTCCCAGGGTGGAGCACCCCAAATCCCCCTCACGGCTACGGGCCTCTCTGGAGCTGATGACCAATGAGCTAATGAATATTCATGCTTCAAGTATTTGTCATTGTCGATGAATATTGATGCGGCCAGGTGAAATGGGCTAGGCTAGAACAGAAGGACGAGCCATGCTGCCGTTCCCCCGCTTCAGCAATATCAAAAGACCTCTTTTTCAAGTTGATTTTGAAAATATAACATAGATGATGGATGAAGATGGGGAAAGCAGCATGAGAATGCACGTGTGCGGAATATTGGCAATTCAATTTCAAACGTTTGAAAAACAATTGAATATTTTTTTGAGGTTTGACAGTCCTGCTTACCATTTGCAAACAAGTTGGTAGCCAAACAGAGGGATGATCAAGCTTTTCTGCTCACGTTATCTTGTAATAATTAGATATTAGTAACAATAAAATATCTTGTAATTCCATAACAATGAAATACAGTATCATTTTGAAGATAAAACAATGTACGATTGCTAAATACTACTGGCAACAAAGTCAAGAATTATAAGATGGAAATACGGGGAAAACAGAATGGGCACAGCAGACTGGTATCCAAAAGAATGTTGAAAGTGTTCCATACATATGGAGTAAAGGATAACTGGCATTTTCTTGAACATCTACATTTTCCCTATATGACCATCTATTGTGGGAGAGGGAGGAGGATGCCAAGGATGCCACTATTAGATCCAGGCTGAGTTCTGGCACGCACCCATGTTGCCAGATGAGCCTCAGGCTAGCAGAAGAGCAGAAAAGACCCTGGGATTGTTTCCAGGCTGGAAATGAGTTTGCCCCTAATAGTAATGTCTGTTGTTCTCATGTTGTTTTCCCAGACCACAGAAGAACTAGAAGATGTATCTGACGTTGAAGATGAATGTGATGCACGTAGCCGTACCAGTATTCAAACTGAAGGGAAAACGGATAGGGTATGTCTCACACCAGTTTGATCAAAAAGTTGTTGAACAAAGGCTGGGACTGCTATTCCGCTAATGTCTCTTTGTTTTGCCTGTGAATCATGCCAAAATTTTGCTCCTTTCTTTAAGAGATTTCTGAGTGTGTTGTATTTCAGACAGATATATAATGGTGCAGGGAAAAGGCCTCCCTAATGAAGTTATAAATATTGAGCAGAGAATTAAATTAGTTTGGCAAATACTTAACTCAAAATTCATAGCTGCTCAAAATCCTGGGCTTGGGCCTTCTAGCCAGTATAAGTATAGTTATGACCAAAGGCCCACATATATTTATTCACTTCATTTATACCCTGCCTTTCTTCCCAATGGGACCCAGAGCGGCTTACATTGTTCTGTCTCCTCCAGATCCTCATCCAACACTCTAACCACTTTACTGCACTGGCTCTCAGATTAGGAAGGTTGCTTAAAACCAGGGGTGTCGAACTCATTTGTTATGAGGACCAGATCTGATATAAATGTCACTTTGGCGGGCCGTGCCATGCATGCTATAAAATGTAATACAAGGTACCAGAGATATAAACTTTATAAAGCTTATTTCAGATACCAAATGGCAATTGCAGGTGAATGACAAATAGAACACTTGATTGGATTAGGTGTGATATGCAGAGGGGTAGTAGACGTGGAGATACCAGCATTCGTAATGAGACAGGAAATCTAGGTCTCAGTTTGCTCCAGGAGGATTCAGTCCAGGAGGATGCAAAGAATAAATAGACATAATTCTGACATTAGAAAACACAACATGCAAAAAACAGTGGGAGAACATTTAACCTTCGAGAGTAGCAATTTTCTTACAAAGGAACTTCAAAGGGAGATTAGAAAGAGAGACTGCTGAATTGCAACTAATAATGAAGCATAAGACAATGCATCCTCCAGGACTGAATTGAGACATTGGTTTCCAGTCTCATTACCAATGCCTGCTATTATCATTTGACATCTGAAATCACTCCACTCTCCAAGTTAAAAGGACCAATGGACTCACATTCTAGCTGTATCTGAAGAAGTGAGTAGTGACTCACTAAAGCTCAAGCCCTGCCACAAATTTTGTTAGGTGCTACTGGATTCTTTCCACTAATAAAAATTGCAAGCTGAGCTATTAGGATTCTTTCTTTCTTTTCTTTATCTGTTTACACTGGAGAGAGGATCTCTCCAAGTGAAATAATGTGTTAATTTCAGACTGGGCAAAATCCACTCAGTGCTAGTGATAATAATGAAACAGTTTAAAAAGCAAAAGGGGAGGTGAAGAAAGGCAGCTAGCGAGGTGGGAGGGGAGAATGAGAGATATGTTGAACTGAAACATATGGAACCGTAGATGTATTTTTAAATAATAAGCCAACTATTTCCAATAATTAAACAATGGAATCCAATCCAAATGTTCTAATTCCTAATCAGAATGTTTTTGAAAGAAAACAAAAATGGAGCCATCTAATCTTAAAAAAACCTTTTCAGAATAAGCCAAAATAATTTACTTTTAATTCTCCTTGCCCCTTAGCCCAACACGCCCCTTCCTTTTAACACATGTACACACGTGTGTGTGTTTGAGTGAGTGAGAGAAATATAGAGATCAAGTCTCAAAGAAAACAGCAGAGCACAACGATCTCAATGTAAATTGTGATTGTCAGAAGAATCCACTCTCCCTCCCTCTTAAGAAGAAGACATTTGCATGCACATGAAAGCTTATACCTGAAATAAAACATTGCTGGTCTTAAAGGAGCCATGGGCATTGCTTTCTCTTGCTCTTTCCCACCTCCTCCCTTCCTCCCAAAGGAGGAGAGCTCAGCCAATGGAGGGAAGCAAGGCTTGGCTTTGTATCTCTCCCGTGTAAACAGGAAGCAGGAAACAGTGACTGAGGGAGTTGTGTGTGAGAGAGATATCAGGTCTCCAGAAAGCAGGAAGCAGGAGAGGAAGCTGGATAAAAGTGAGCTGCAATGTGATGGCGGCGGCAGCCTCAAGGAAGGAAGCAGGAGACAGTCAGTTGCTCATGGGCCTGATTTGAGCCCTGCAGGGGCTGGATTCAGCCCACAGGCCACATGTTTGACACCCCTGCTTTTAATAGATTTATATCAGGTCCAGACTGTTAAGCATACCCACCAGGGAACTCTTGGAATAGCAATTCACTTAAGAAGATATGACTCTCTACTTTCATAAAACTTCAATTTGCTGGGAGAGTCAATGATGATCTTTTTGGAAATTGGTTTTAGCAGAGTGGCATCCATAGTTTTATTTGTGATCCACAAGCTCTCAACATGATTGCTGATCTATGAGCCAGTGGTCAACTAGAGCAGATGAACTGTTTTGTTCACTACATATGGATGAAAATAAAGTTTCCCGGTCATTTCACCTATTCAGAGCAGTGAAGTCACACTGAATTAATACTGATGATTTGGAAATAAGGTAAAAGCCTTACCTAGGCTTTTGCTTCCCTGGAAAACAATCCAGAAGTCTGGTAAATTAAGTTCATGTCCATACTAACAAAAAATCTAGAAAACATATAAGATCAAAACCACTGAGAAAGCTGAAGCCCACATCATCTAACTTGCATGCAACCTGTAGTACTCCATTAAAACATGCAAAAGGCTTTTAGAGAAAAGAAGACAGGAAGATTTAAAGACTAATAGAAATCACTATTGGAATGGTTTCCATGGAAAACACTGCATAAAACCATCACGAGTTTAGCATGCTCTTGGTACAGGACTGGACTACAAGGGGTACTAGTGCAATTAAATGCTACAGGCTGAGTAAAATATGGATTTTCATATGACTTTTAAAATACTTCCCATAGCAAGTACAATTCCATTTGGCAGATGCATAATCTGTAAATGATTAGATTCAAGCCTTCCTCTATTCATGATAAAAGGAAGTTGAAAGAGATTCCAACTGGGATGGGTAGAGCACATAGTTCAAATCATCTGGAATTAACCTTTCCTCAGATCATAACATTGTATCTAAAAACAATATTAAGAAAGATAGTTGAATGTCAGTATTCCTCAAATCAATCTGCATTGTTAGTCATATTACAATAAGGGCTTCTTGAAGAAGAAGAAGAAGAAGAAGAAGAAGAAGAAGAAGAAGAAGAAGAAGAAGAAGAAGAAGAAGAAGAAGAAGAAGAAGAAGAAGAAGAAGAGATTGTGTTTGTTGAGCAATGACACAAGGACTTTGAATCAGACCAATGGGAGTTTCATGCCTCCCTGACTCATGTGTGCCCTTTTCTCTTTGCAACTGGGGCATGGGCAAAAGCGGCAGCTGACTTCCCCTCCACATTGCTTTCTCCTCCTCAAAGCACCCTGGGGAGCTGATACTGGCAGCCATGTCAAGTAATCTGAGCAGCCAGAGAGGTGGGTTTTAAGGTGGGCAAAACAGTGCAGAAGGGAAGGCTGCAGCACTCTGGTTGCACAGAGTCAGGTGGACCAAAATCTCATTGAATGTTTAATTCAAAGTCCTAGTGTCATCACTCAACGCACAGGGGGACTTTGTACTATGTAGGACAGCCCTGAGAGGAGGCATTCTGCATCCTGGATATAAAGTCCTGGATCCTCCCACTAAAGAGTGCAGGCCACACACTCCAGTCCTTTCCTGTACGCTGGTTTTTTTTTTTTTTTTTTAAATCCTCAGAGGGATATTTTTATTTTTGCAATACACTACAAATTACAAAGAAATTATGGAGGAAAGGGACTACATCTAGGGATAAAGAAAAGATAACCACACTATACTAAAACCCCAAGAGGAGGAGATCTTATCCCTGTTAGTTAAAGTGTGAGTAATATAAATGTTAATAAAACAATATACTTGTAGAGTTCTTGTTTGTCTCAGCTTCAATGTTAACATGTTAATTTGTTAGTTGTTATGAGAGAGCTTTCTGATCATCTTCTTATTCTTCGCTTCAAAAGGCAGTTTTCAGAGTCCTTCTGCCTTTACTTCAGTTTTCTGTCTCTAAAATCATATACCACTCTGGCTGCCTCTGCACCGGTTTCCACAGCAGAGTCCTCCTCCGTTCCAGAGGTGGCAGAGTCACTTGATTTCGTTTCTTCCTCTTTGGAGTCTTCCTCCATTCCCAGCTGGCGTCGCAAAAATTCCTTGGCTTTAAAGGTGGAATCAATCTTTTCTCTTTTATCGTTGATCCTGAAGATGGCACCCTCTGGGATGGCCCACCTATATGAAATTCCATTAGTTTGAAGAAAAGAAATTAAGTCCTTATTAAGGAAATTAAGGACTTATTAAGGAAATTAAGGACTTATTAATTAAGTCCTCTTTTGACGAATTACAAATGGAATGTCTTTTAAAGTTTTAATGATTAATTTAGTGGAGTTGCTGATGTTGCCTTTAAAATAGCAACTCTGGTCTGTCTTCTTGAGAATCTGACCACAATTTCTCCAGGCAGGCTATTTCTTAAATATAATTGGAGTAAGCACTATAAGCCGTCTCCATCTCTTTTACCAGTTCATCCGCTGTTAAACCTATTGTTAAGCCGCTGTTAAGCCTACTGCTGGAGCAATGATCTCACTGAGTATCTTCCTCAGGTCCTCCTTCTCTGCCTCAGGAACTCCCTGGAATCTGAGAATCATGTTGGCTTTTTCCATCTGCAGCTAACACTAAGCTTCGAAGGGGAGACCTTTTTGGCTTCAAAGCTTAGGTCCCGTTCACACTCACCTATTTGGTCCGGGAGCGGGACAGTTCGGGGGCGGTTCAAACCGGCGCGATCACACCACAACATCTGGGAAGCGCCGTGATACCGTCCCCGAACTGTCTCTATTCTTGGAAACCGCGCCTCAAACTGAACCACCTATCTCGGTGGTTCAAGTGGATGCGGCGCCTCTTCCCGGCCGTTTGATCGCCGGCGCAAGGACGCGCCGGCACAACCCCGGGCCGGAGACGAACTGCGCATGCTCAGACATGCGCAGTTCAGCCGGCCCCCGGTTAGGGCCGTGTTTTCTCCCCGGCGTTTGATCGCGCCGGGGAGA